GATAGATATAAAAATATACGGTCACGTACATTGCCATATAAGGGTGAGCTTAAAATATTAAATGGTTCTCAAAATTCATCAGATTTTTTAAAAAGTGTAAGTTAAATTTGGTTTTTTATTTATACATATTTGATTTATTAATATTATACATACATTTTTATGATGATAAGTTTAAAGGTTTCTTGCAATCAAAAGATAATAAACTTAAAGTATATGGACTAACTCAAAATACTGCAACAAATGAATATATGTTAGTTTTCGATGAACTTGGTTCTATAAGAAAGAGTGAAAATGGAAAATGCACGAATTGCAACCGATACAACACATCTTACGCTTGGTGCCGAACATGTGATCCCCAGAAAGGATGGACGAGTGGAAATAAAAATGTAGATAATTGCATTAAAGAATTTCAACTTAAAGCTACAAGACACGCAGACGTAATCGAATGGATTCCTTTTAATAGATTAGATAATATTCAAAAAATCGGCGATAGATTTTTAGCAATCTGGTTAGATGGAGTTCGGTCTAATAAATTTGTAGATAATAAATTTATACAGTCACGTATACCATCATATAAAGTGGAGCTTAAAATATTACAAGGAACTGAAAATTTATTAGATGATTTGAGTGGGGTAGGTTAAAATGTGTTATATGATTCACTACGAATATTTTTCATTTCTATTTATTTAAAAGCTTAAAAATCTCACACATTAAAGGATAATGAACTTAAAATATATGGACTAAGTCAAGACACTACAACAAATGAGTATTTATTAGTTGGTGAATCTGAAAGTAATAAAGCTTATGGGAAATGTGCAAATTGTGACCAATATAACACGTCAAAAGTTTGGTGTCAAACATGCGACCCTCAGAAAACAACACAAGGTTGGACAAGTGGAAATAAAGATGTCGACAATTGTATTAAAGAATCTCAACTTAAAGCCACAAATTATGAAGATGTAATCGAGTGGGTTCCTTATAATAGATTAGATAACGTTCAAAAAATTGGTGAAGGAGGATTTGGCTCTGTGTTTTCAGCAACGTGGTTAGATGGTAAAAGGGCAGTCTTATATGAAATGAATACGCATAAACACACACAATCACGTACGCCACCATGTATAGTTGCACTTAAGACATTGCCAGGTTCACGAAAGAAGTAAGTTAAAATGGTTAATTTATTATGCCCTAATAATGACAAATTTTTAACATTATAAAATTTTTTTTAACTACTTAGTTTAAAAGTCATACAGAAATTAGATTAATGGGTTGTTTTCTTGAAGTTTATGGGCTAACTCAAAATACAACTAATGTGAATATTTGATGGTGTTCCAATATGCAAATAAAGGATGTCTTCTTAGGTACCTATTATCAAATTTTAGAGAACTTAACTGGAAAACTAAATTAAAGCAGCTTGTCGATATATCGGAAAATTTATTAAAGAAAGTTCACGAAGCAGGATATGTTCATGGAGATTTTCATAGCGGTAATATATTGCAAAATCAATATATTAGTGGATATTTAGTATCTTATATTGCAGATCTTGGATTATCTAGAAAGAAAGATGAATCTGAGTTAGAAGATAAAATTTATGGAGTTTTACCTTATGTTGCTCCTGAAGTGTTACTTAAACTACCATATACAATAGCAGCAGATATTTATAGTTTTGGTATTATTATGACAGAAATATCTACAGGAAGGCCACCTCATTCCGATTTTGAGTACGATGAAGCGTTGGCTATTGAAATATGTAAAGGGTTACGTCCTGAAATTGCTAAAGGCACCCCTGAATGCATATTTAGTTGTTTAATCTATTGAAATTATTTGTACAGTATTTATAAAATTAAACCATGAGATAATAGAATTACATATAAGACTTTGAATTTCTCAAAAATGGTAATTCATCGTGGCTCAATTTAGACTATTTTATAGAATAATATACTGTAATTGGCTGACAGAGAATACCTGGGCCCGGCAATTATCTTTATTTAGAGTTACTCTAATTGGGTGAAATTAAATCTGGATTTCATATAATGAATTTTCTGCAAAAATGTCTTTAGTTGATTTCAATTAGTCGAAATGATTGAGCAACATTAGCAATTCACATTGAGAGAACTGCTTGAAAACAGTCTAATTCAATTGCTGCCGATTAATTAAATCTTTGTCTGTAAATATCATATTCTAAACTATTAAAATTAAAGAACATTTAGCGGTATTATAGTCTCAAAATCATCATAATAATCATAATAACCCCTGCTTTATTAATTAGCTAATTTTCAATTCTTTACGGTTAATGGAATTAATATAAATTTATATTAATATAATAGTTTTGAACTGTCTGGAATAATTATATAAAAAGGGATTTATTCCTTGGCAGTTAATGCTGAAAAAGATATTTCTATAAGTTTCTATTTCTTAAATGTCATTTTTGTTTGCTCCGTAATATTTCTACAATGATTCCATGATCTTTTTTCTTTTTTTTTATGTTAGGTCAAAGATTGCTAAATATCTCAAGAAGTCGTTCGATATTGTTTTTTGTTAATCAGATATAGCACGTACGTAAAATTCGCGTGTTATATTGTCTTTTAGTCATTTAGAGGTGAAGTTATAATTCCCTAGCAATAGCTGCAAATTTTAAAATTTATGTGCAGATTAACCTAAGTCTAGGGATGGCAAATGTTTTAAAACACGATCTTAAAAATCTCGACTGTTTAATTTTTAATTGTTAAATGTTTTAGTTTATCATGACGTAATCATCATTATAAAAACAACAATTATATCTCGTGGAAGGCTCCTTTGAAAGAAATTCGGTTAAACTTTACGAAAGTTACAGAAAGTGACAAGCATGGTCAAACAACACCTCTTCAAAAGTGTATTCATTGCGAAAAGTTCATCGTAGATTTGGTTGGTCGATTAAAGGTGCATTTAATAAAGTGTAAAAAGGTTCCAAAAGTGTTAAAGAAGCATTAAAACTTCAAGACACTGACTCTACAATATTATTGGATAAAATTGGATGTAGATAGTATATTAACAAAATTCTTTTTTCTTTTCGCAAGTTTTTTTTTTTTTTTTTTACATGTAGCAATAATATTTGTAGTGTAATAAATTCGAAATTATAAAGAAATACATGTTATGCTGAAACTGAAATTAACCAATCGGGGACGGTAATTTCAAATTTCGATGTTTTAAAAAAATTTTTAAAGCAATAAAAAATTGTTTGAAAAACGTTTTTTTACCATCCCTACCTATATCATAAACAATTTATTATGCTATTATGTTATTGTTTTCATCTTTATAGTAGCTATTATATTTTTTTATATTTTTGTTGTGATGTACGTATAATAAAGATTTTTAATCGATCAAACGTTCTTGTCACTAATTAAGCCCGAGAAAAATTTTAAATAGTATCATTCCGGTTAAAAAACTTTTCACCGGTTTATCCATAAATGTTGCATACTTATGGAATTTATATCTTCAAATGACGGAAATTATTCGGCGGAGCCCGTCATGTTGCAGATTTACGGGATTTTTACAAATAATAAGGAAATACATTGATATAGGATACCTGGATCGAGGATAGCAAGGACAGTGAATACCTCCAGTCATATACAGTCTACTCTTTCTATACTGAACCCCCAGTTCTGGCCAAAAAAAAAAGTTCGTTATATAGAATTACTATGTCTTCTTAATAGCTATAGCTCTTGTTATATCGAACTAATATTAAATTTAGAAAATTTGAGTTCGTTATAAAAAGGTTCGTTATATCCAGAGTTGCTGTATTCCATTTATTCCGATGTCATCAAAAAAAAAAAATTATTTAACCAATCAAAATTTAATTTTTATTTTAATGAAGTATTTACCATCTCTGCCCTGAACTATCTTTTTTTTGCACTGCTTATAAATTTTATAACCATTGAAATAAATAGAGTACCTTTTATTATGTATTTTCGTTATCAACACATTAGCATATTGCATTTCTTATGAATTTTCGTTATCGACATGTTAGCATATTGCTGTTACTTGAACAATAATTCTTTTCGGCAACGCATATTACCACCATTAAAAACTGGTATGTGAAGGTTGATAAAATACGCAAGTATGCAGCATAATATCTGAGTTGATATTACTTATTATTTTTTGTATATGAAATTTTTGAAAAGCCACTTAGAAACGATAAAGCTGATTTGAGGTCATTATTTTTTATCTATTAGCCAATCACAAATGTGATACTTGAACAATCTCAATAATTCCACCATTTTTACTATTGATTTGATCTAAAATGTTATGAAATTACATCATAATACTTGTATACTATTTCGATCATTAGAAAAATCGTGATGCTTGAGAATTCCATAGTCTATTGATGAGCCTGTTAAGTCATAAATTTAAAAAGACCGATGCATGTTTTCTTATAACATTAACAATTTTTTGAAAAAATATTTATTTTAGAATAAAGATAGGTTTTAAACAAAGTAAGTTACGATGTTTAAATATTTGAACATTCAAAAGTTAACATATAATCCTTCCATTATTGCGTGTTTGTGAAACTTTAAAATAACCCGAAGTATTAAGTGCGTCATTTACATACTATTATTTTTCTGACGCTTCTTATTGCAAATTACATAAAAAATGTCTACCCTCATTTTTCAAAGAAAAAGAGGTTAGACATTATTTAAGTTATGTGGTTTGCAATAATACAGTATTGCTGAATAGGGCTAAATAAGGTTTAACTAAAGATGTACTTCAAGTGAGATGACAAAACTACGCGCCGCGACTTCGCGTGATTTGCGTGAGATGGCATCATATCTCGCGAGGTAAATTATTCGATTAAGAAAATTTTAATGAAATTTCTAGCATATAATCTAAAATGAATTCTTTATCACACGACTCGCGCGAACTCGTGCAGCAAAGTCCCGCGCGCGATATGTGAAATGTATGCTAGGTTTATCTCGCGAGAGGTACATTTCTAGTTTTGACAGCACTGTAATTTGTGTTCTTTTTTTTTAATCGTCCCATTCCCAAACTTCCTTAATCCACCGATGCATAGGAATTTCCCTGCTAGCAGACCTCCAAATAAACGGATGATCGAGTATTTGCTTTGGTGTCGGTCTTTTTTCTCCATCCTTTTCTAGACTTATATTTAATGAAATCTAAATACACTTCAAATATTAAAGATGACGAATAAACACAAAGCATATAATTATTTTAATTACCATACTTTCAAAAAGTCCCTAAATTCGCTACTCCAATCATATTCGTCTTTTAACACAGGCGGCAGAGAATTGACAATATATACAACTAATTCAAACGGAGAAACAGTTGGCGAGTATGGGTATGGAAATTCATTTTGCGCTACCTCCATTAATGTCAATCCCAAGGACCATACATCAGCTGATACTTTATATTTTTGACCTTGAATACGTTCTGGCTATAAATCTTATATATTAGACAAATTTCAAATAAAGAATAAATACTCAGGATAAAACTTCAATCATTCACTTACGGCCACGTAATATGATGTACAAAGGTTAGAGTTAGTAGTGATGTAAGATGGTATATCACCGGAGTACCCAAAATCACAAATTTTTATCTCGCCTCTTCTTGTTACCACAATTTTGGATGGTTGTATGTCTGATGGAGAAAAGTAATGACGAAAAAAAATAAAAAAATACGTAATGGCTTTCAAACCTCAATGTAAAAAAAATCGGGTATACCTCTGTGAAAAATGTGTTGACTGTATAAATAAATCAATCCTTTCAGCACCTGATTCAATTATATTAATAATTTACGGGCGAAATTAAAGGCATTATATAAAATATATCAATCTTACTGATTCTCCAATCTTTCCCAGAACAGGTTCACCAATTCTTCCTTGTCTTCGACGAACATGTTTATAAATTTTATCTAAACTTCCACCCTCACAAAATTCCATAAAGATTGAAATTGAATTGTCTTCTAAAACAGCTCCATAATAAGTAATGATATTTGGTGAATGGCATTTTTTAAGGAAGTCGATTTCACAGCAAAGTGATATAAATTCAGAATCATCAATAATGTCGATTTTCTAGTGTTTATGAAATTACAAGCATTTTATAGATTTTTTTTAAAGTTTTTTTTTAGGAAAAAATCAGAGAAATATTATATAATCAATGTAAGTTCCAAACTTAAACTTTAATAACTCAAAAAGTATACAATCGGATTAAAAAAAATCATACCTTTTTAAGCATTACAACTTTTTTAACTGTATCGTATACTTTAGTCACTGTATCTCCGGTTATTTTACCTTGCTTTTCTAATTCTTTCAAATGTGCAGGGTTGATTTGTGCAGAAGCATCGTTTTCTGATGGAAAGTGATCAATTGGTTATGTTCGTTAGTAAATATATGCCCATTTGAAGTCTGAGCTGGGGAAAGAAATTAAGATGCTAAGGAAAAATGGATAAAGGAATTGGACGGAATGTCGGGACGAGGTGGAGCATTGTTGTGGTGGAGGCTAGAGCCAGAGTCTAAATTTCTATTACCTCTCGAAAATGGTTCTGACGCCATTTTTTAATATTTCCACTTTTTGAAATTCTTCGGAAATTATCGATTTACACCGATCATATATAACCCGATATTTTAATGCAGTGTAACAGTACCGAATTTTGGGCAAATTTACTGCGCTCTTGGATTACGTGTACTGCCCATCGTCTATCGCTATTGGATGATAATATTTCTATCATCTAAATAAATAATGCTATAGGTGTTAACTAGCTCTTAGGCCCTGGGCGTTGCTCCAGGTCGATACAAAATAATTGTTAATTTTTAGAATCAAATTCTGGCTCAAAGTGACTCAGTTCGGGTCTCTTTGAACCAATCTGTGGTTCGAAGTAACCCAATTCGAAACCAACTTTCGGTTCGAAGTAACCCGATTCTGGTCTCTTTGAACAACTTCTGGTTCAAAGTGACCCGAATCAGTCTCTTTGAATCAACTTCTGGTTCGAGGCGATCCGATTCAGGTTTCTTTAAGCCAACTCTTGGTTCAACGTAACCCGAATCAGGTCACTTCGATCCAACTTCTGGTTCAACATAATCCGAATCGGGTCACTCGATCCGATTCCTGGTTCAAAGTAGGGCTTTGACCCGGGTTAACCGTTTTCGACCCGGCAATAGTCACATAGGTCAAGCTTTATAGTTTAGATTTTAAGTCTTGTATTTTAAAAATATATACTAACATTCTACATCAGAAAAACCGGTTCATTATAATTTATATACTTATTTACAGTTATTATCATAATTTCTGGGACACCTGTAAAAATTTGCCGAATGATTTTTCGGCCGATCCGGTTAAGTTATAGATTTCGGAAATAATAAGATTCATTAACAGATATATCAGATACGTACGTACGTAATTTAATAAGATCAGATGACTAATATATCTTTGGCACGATCCATTTTCGCTAAAACGAAGCTTTTATTCATTTCTAATTATTTTTCGACGAAAGTTCTGTTTTATAAAATTGTGTAAAATTTCAATTCCCATTCTTTGGTAAGATCCATTTTCGTTCAAACGAAGCCTTTATTTATTTCTAGTTATTTTCGGGTTTAAAAAATTGAGCAAATTTTCAATTCTTTATCTTTGGCAAGATCTATTTTCGTTCAAACGAAGCCTTTATTCATTTCTAATTATTTTTCATTTCTTGCCGAAGACAAAAAATTTGGTTTTTGGCAAAATACATTTTCGTTCAAACGAAGCCTTTATTCATTTCTAATTATTTTCAATGAAAACTAGTTTTTAAAAAAATGAATTAAATTTCGATTCCTATTCTTTTGCAAGATTACTTTGATTTCGTTCATCGTAATTCTTCATGCATTCTCGACAAATATTAATAATATCTTGGTCGCTTGGAATCTTATCCTGATTAAACCAGTCGACAAATTCATGATCATATCTAACTTTTTTAATAGCGGCACCTGCTCGAGTAATATATATTCGATTCCTTTTTTACGTTTCTTGTTAAGGTTTTCGTACAAACATATTGGACAAGCATTCGAACGAAAATTTAAAATCGTTGACATTATTGTTATGACAATCGTAAAAAGACCATTATGATACAAAAATAGCTTTTATTAATTATTTTATTATACGGATCATGCAGAAAAATCACTCGGCAAATTTTTACAGGTGTCCTAGAAATTATGATAATAGCTGTAACCTCTTATTTAACTGACCCGTTTAACCCGGGTCAAGGCAATTTTTGACCCGTGACCAGTTTTTGAAATTAGTGTTCTCGGAGTTCTTATGAGAACACTGCTATAAATTTGTGCACAGTATAAATTTTTTTTTACTTTTCACTATTAAATTTTTTTTTGAGAACAGTAAATTAATATTTGTGTTCTCATAAGCATATAATAAATAGCTGCAGATTTGAAATGAAAAAAGTGTTCCTGTCGTGGGGTTAATGAATGTATATAGTTATACTCTCAATTCCGCTCAGTGGTTCGTTTAGTCTTGCACTCGCTTTGTACACAGATACGTTTCTTACTCAAACACTGCTCTGTACTCAATTACAATTTCTCTTGACCTTATTAACCCAAGGTACTAAGTTGGAATCACTAGGCACAGGTTTATTACTCAAGAACTTGAACCTATATTTATTTAATTCCATTGTTTACATGAAACGTGATATTTGTTGAACCCCAGCACTACGAGATACAGGGGTATCGTAATATACCTTCACAGTTCCATATTGTAAATAAAATAATAATTATTAGATTTATTTATTTTTTTAAAAAAAGTTCTTTTTTCAAAATATAATATTTCATTAAACTTGCAATTTGATGTATATTAAATTTAATTAGTATTGATATAAATCGTATGTTTAGCACAAATTTTATGGTGAAAATTTATATGTACTATTTTGATCCTTAGTACATTTCCAATAAATACAGTATTGTTGGTGCTGTTTTTTTTTTGTGACATAAAAATATTAGTTTGAGAATACAAATAGTTATTATATTGTTCTCAAGAAAACCGTATTTAGATCTGAAATTTCAAACACTGCCCATGACCTGTCAAAATTCTGACCCATATGATCAAATCTCTAGTTTATTTTTTAAAAAAATTTGGAGGTTTTTTTTTGTTATTTTTTGTTTTATTATTATTATTATTATTTTATTTGTTTATCTTTTATTTACAGTATATATTTATTAATTGTTTTTTCAATTTAGTTCATTTTTATTTTTAATTTATTAATTTTTTATTTGAATCACTTTATTTTATTTTTGATTAGTTAATATATATTTTTTATAATTTTTTTAAATTTATTATTATTACTACGTGGGGTGATCAATAAGTTTTGACATTTATGTATTATCTCAATCAGTTTTAATTTTATGGTTTTAAAAATTATATATATAAAAATAATGATTTTATTGAACTTGTAAAAAAAATTTTAACTAATTTTAATCAAATATTTTTTGAAAAATTATTATTTAAAAATGTCAATTTTAACAATTGAAAATTTAGTAAAATTAAAATATAAGTTAAATTATAAAAATTAAAGTTTTATATATACTAAAAAAAAATTATATAAAAAAAATAATAATATATATATATAATTAAAATTTATATAAAAAAAATTTTTATATAATAATTTAAAGTAATTTTTTTATAAATTAAAAATTATATATATCTTACTAAATATAGTAATTTAGTTACTATATTTAGTAAATAAAAGTTACTCAAATAATTTTTTTTTTTTTAAAAAAAATTTAGCAGTCTTGCCTTCACTTTATTAGGCTTTGTAATAATTATCTAAACTATTAAAATTTTCTACAGAGTTATACTCTA